TACAGAAAAACATAATGCTGTATTAGTCATCATTACTTGTCTTCTGAGCATCCAACAATTAAATTTATGTTTGCAAGTGAGGAAAGTGTTGTCTACCAGACAAAAGAGATGAAAGCTAATCTTGGTAATAGCAAAAATAATTATAATAAATAGACATATTCTATATGTTGAGTCACTGGTGAGTACAATCCCACAAATGAGCTCTTCCTGTAAGTCTGCTAACTGCTGGGTATTAAGTACTACTGTTTATCTACATGCAACTCCCACAGTCTGGTTTAGTGATTTATTTCTGTCAGTAAAATTTCAAATAGCTTCCAGTCAAAAGCAGATTACCCACAACTACGCAATGTAATATGTTACAGCAGATTGCCAATGTATCTTCTTTGTATGCCATGTAATTTATTAATAGTATCAGAGTTGTGATATTGCTGTTTATTTGTACATCATTTTAAAATGTGAGTGTAGAAATATCTTGGGGCTCACTAATATTTATAGTGTAAGTATTTCAGGTGCTTTTTTCATAATGCTGTGTGTATGAACAATATTAAAAGGACTTGATTTATGAAAGAAGCTTAATCTATTGTAAGCATAACTCAGTAGGCTTAATTTAAAGAGCATCAAATGGTGTTATCTACCTGATGATGCCCACGAATCTTAATTCCTAAATTATCATCCTCTTAGCTGAGTTTATCTGCACCCATGATGCTGGAGCTACATTTCAAGAATTGGGCGTATTATTCTTGAGTTTTGATAAGGAAGTGATTATAATATAATATTTTTTTGTTACCTCTGAAAAACAATCTTGTGCAGTATTGATTGACTTCCAACATGGTTAACTGAATAGCTAAGTGAAAAAATATCTACATGGCAATGAAGGTTTATTATATCATTAATTCTTTATCCCATTTATAGGTTTTAAGATTTTTAATGTGGCAGATCTGCTATTCAACATAATGCACTTCTTCCACTCTTTTGAACCTTTAATAGAAAATAAGTGCCTTGGACCTAAAAATTTGGGGGATTGACAGTGATGGAGTGCTGTTCAGCAACAGTCTGATCTTGGCAACTTCTACCTCTACAAGCAAATTTGCAAATTTAAGTCACTTTTCTCTATCTTGATGTGTAAGATGCGGAGTCGCTCTATATCCAGAATTCTGTAATCTAATGAACTATATCTTCTGCTACAACACTTTGTAATTCTGATGATACTATTCATGATAATGATGAACATCAGTTCTGCTATAAACTGGTACTTTTTGCTAGCGAAATTCACTATAAAATTGTGGGCACATGTGAGATACAAAATTTGTCTGGCATCTATGTTAAGTGTTACACTGCGAAATCTTCAGCCTTGATATATAAACAGGTAGAGTTCTACATCTGCAGTGTCAGCTCTAGGAAGAGTTTACCCCAGCATATAATAAACCCACCACTAACTACTTAAATAAACATGGACTTCAGGGATTCATACCATTCTTGATTGAAACAGTATTGAGGAGTGGAAGCTGCTTGAAATCTCTTAGAACTTTTGTAATTGCAAAATTACTCTCATCTGTTAGTAAGTTTGAATAAAAAGTGTTTGGGGCTGCTAGGGTTTGAGTTCAAAGAATAACTGTGGTTTGCCAAGGCAAGAAGTAGGTAATTAAAACAATGTTTAGAGACACACTGAAAGCTTCAAAATGGGACAACTCTAAGGCTTTCTGAACTGGTGAGGGAAGAAAGTGAAAATAACCCAAGAATGTATTAGTGCATCTCGCATTGAATCTCCTAACAGTTCCCGAGAGCTGTATAGTAACTGCAGTTGTTATCAGAAAACTGACTGTAAGAGTTATTTTCTGACATTTTCAGTGTATTATGTGGCTGTGAGTTGCCACACCAAACTTGCTCAATTCACAAGTCAAAACAAGACTTTATTATAAGGCTAACAGTGCAACCACAGTCTATTGTCTGAAAGCTGGCCACTGCTATTGCTTCATACACCACCACCAAGAGGGATGACTTTGGACGTAGGGCTTCTCTTACAGTTCTCTTCATGAACTGTGAAGCAAAACAGAATTTGCTTTGTAGTTCTGCAGTATATTGAGTCATTGGTGTTAATGGTATGACTAGTTTTGTCTGAGAGTTTAAGAGATGTGACTTCAAAGACACATGCTGTAGAAGTAGACATGTAAAGTAACCAGGTGCCATTTCTATAGGATATTTTTCACCTTAAATGTATGTTAAGGTTTATGTATTAGGCTTACTATTTACTAAATATTCGGTATTGCAGATATTGAGATGTTTTGCCAGCACATTAGGGTTCAAATGTTCCCTAATACATTAGGTTTTGTTTATAGTTATGTTCTGAACTACTGCAGAGGGCACATGCCCATTATGAAAAATGTCTGTTACACTCCTAGGTCTGCCACAAAATATTATTTCAGTTATTTGGAGGTGGACGCTACTGACATCAGTCTGATTTTTCTTTTTTTTTTTTTTTCCTTTTTTTTTTTTTTTCCTTTGGCTTGCAGTAGTTAGTTGTGGAGCAAAATTTCCCATCTTTGAAGTAGTTGATTTTGCATTATGGTTGATTTGAAAGTTCAGAGAGACACACAGTTATACAGCTGATATCCAAACAAATCTTAATTTCTTTTAAATTCTTCAGGACAGGAAAATTTCCATTCAAATTGTTTTTTTTATGTAGTTGACATTGGTTAAAGGTCGAGTAGAAATATTCTCATCGTGTGCATTATTTTCACGACTGATGCAGGGGTGTAGCTGGAGGTCAGGGCTGAGCCAGCCCAGCGCCTTGCCGTTGCCATCAGGAGTGGCACCATCTGCCTGTCCCTCCTTCCCACCTCCCCTTTCCTCTCCCAAACCATGCCTTATTCAGGCTGGGACGCGCCCTACCCTCTGCTGACTCCTGTGCTCACCTGGCTGCACGGGAAACCGGAGTGACTGACTAAAATACTTTTGCCTTTTTTGCTGGATGAGTTTTCTGCACGGAGCCAGCTCCTGGTGTGCTCAGAGAAGTGCTGAAGCCCAGCAGAGGCGGCAGCGACAGGGCCCCGCGCCTGGGAGGAAGAGGAGGTGAGGAAGAAGCAGATCTTCCTATTTTAGCTGCAGCCAGGTTTCACCTGACTTAGCTGTGTCACATCTCTACAGGTTATGAAATGACCAGGTTTATTTGGGTTTTTTTCATGGTGTAAAACTACATAAAGATTTAAGACAATGACAGAGCTACGGCCTGAGTTTTTGCTGTTACTGTGCTGGGCCAGAGTTGGAGTAACCCCATTGATTTTAGGATGGTTATTCTGCATTCACAGCTGTGCCAACTGGTGACACCTACCAAACTGATCTATGAAAGCATTATGGTAAACCCCAATTTTGGAGTAACTTTAGTTAGTGTTAGTTGCAGAGTTGTTTCTGGTTTTGTTTTTGGTTTTTTTTAATTGATTTAGGAGAGAGATTATTTATCATTTCCTATAAATGGTAGCATGTCCTTGAAAACAAGTGTTTGAAAAGACTTTTTTTAAAGATGTGTTTACTAGTGTTTTAGAGTTTATTAACCTTAAAAAGCACATGTCTAAAAATTTGCCGGTATTTATAAGTTTATAAATACTACCTGTGGATCAAGAGAGTCTGTGTGGGCTTTAATACATATTTCTAGGGTCAGTAGTAAAAAGAATATTTATATTCCTTTCAGCTAATACCATTTTCTGAGAATAATGGCAGAACTACAATCATAGAAAGATGACAATAATAAAAGGCCCTCCTCCTAGGTGAGAAAGATACTGCTAAGGATCAAGTAGCTTTTATTCAAGGAATGAATTTACCCCTCATGTTTTGAGGGTTGAAAACTGTTGATATGAGGTATTGTAAAATGTGTAAACATTCAAATAAAATTAACTACATGGACTTGATTTACTGCAGGCTTATGTTTTTGGTGTTGAATATTCCTTTCTTTTTTTTTAATGTTCTGCAATGAAAATGGGTGTTTAAAATATATTGTTAAACATTTTGTTTTATTTTTGTGGTCCTAATTGCCTTGAAAAAATCCATCAACCTAAAAAATATGTTTTAAAATCAAATCTGTTGAAGGCATTTGACATAGGACACCTCTCTATACATAATTTTTCTGTTTTCATAGCAGCATATTTATAGACAAAGTTGTTGGTTAAAAGATTTTACATTTATAGCTGCGTATTTGCTTCATAGATCCTGGGAGGGCTAGGGGAACCAGCTGGGGATGGTGACTCAAGAGAATCTTTTGGAATATTCTAGCTCCCTAATCTATTAGAAATAGACATATGAAAGGAGTCAAACTAGTTCTGTGATTACTCATTTTAGAGGCAGAAGTTTTATCCTTTTATTGATCTACATTTAGGCTACATGTTCTCTTATCTAAAGCTCTCTGCAGTAACTGTAGATTTCTTTTGAACCACCAAGAAGTCAGCACTGTGTCCTTCCCTAAGCAAGCACTCTTCGGAGAAGCATAAACATTAAATAAATTAAAATTATTTAACATAAGCTTTGAAGAAAAAAAATAGAGAATAAACCACTGCTGTGACATCATTTTCACAGAATTCTACATCATCCCAAGGAATATCTTTGCTAACACATGTGTTGGAGGTTTTGCTTACATTTTTTAGTTAACTCAGTCACCCACACCTCCAGACATATACTCACTGTCTAATCCTCTATGGATGCTTTCATTGCTGCTTGTTTGTAGTGTATAAAATCCAGTTTTATGTTAAGTAGGTGGGTTGCTGATTTGCCAGCATGCCATTCTGGATTGGGCATTTATGAATTGTTTTTAAGCACTAAAGCGGACAATGAAAGCTTTATATCAATTCCCCAATTAGCAGTAGTCATTCTTGTTAAACTTTGGTAAAGAGCTGTAGTATGTGATGAATGTAAAGTATTCATTCCTGGGCTGTTTCTTTTTTTTTTTCTTCCCCTGCATTTCTACATTTTGTCAAATAGTCTTATGCTGCTTGTTATTTCTGTTCATATTGCAGATTGAGAATGTTGATGTCTGCCTTAGCTTTCTGGCAGCCAGAGGCGTAAATGTCCAAGGTCTTTCTGCAGAAGGTAAGAGAAACAAGTCATCAGAAGAAATAATAGGACTTTTTTTCTGAAAACTAATTTTCTTAATACAAATTATTTGCACCTAAATACCAAACTGCAGCTGTCTTGAACAGCATGCAAATATAGATTAGTGATAGCGAGTGAGAGAGTTTCTTTTTAATTTCCCTTGAAATTGAACCAAGAAATGCAATGTTTATGAAGCTTGAGACAATGTTTTAAAATAATATTTTTTCAATAGTATTAATCTTTTCACGTTATCTGCATAATATTATATAGGTACAGCGTTTCCCAAGTGTACTTTTAAACTTGTATAAGTTTATATAAGGGATTCAAAACAACAAAAATGAATATGACAATCTTGCTCAGTTAAGTAAACCCAGGGAAGACTACTTGTTTAAGCAAATTTATTATTAGTAGTAATGCTGTCAGGATGAGTCTGAAAATTATTGTATTCTTTTGATGTCGTGTATTAGGTGAAAGAGTGAATGGTCTTGCTGTTTATATTATAGCCCTTTTTTGCTGTATTAGTCACCTCAAGTGATTGCCTAATATGGTTACAACTAAGTTAATAAATATATTAAATCAAAACCACTATAATACCAATTGTCTTAATTAGTATGTAATATTTGCCTTATTAATGTAAAATTAAGTCAGGTGGATACTTTATCTTGTAAATTAATAAAATGTACACAAGCGTTTGTCCTACAACAAATTAAGCAGTTATGCAAGGTGCTGTGCAGCTTCAAAATCACTCTGACTTCCATGGCAGCTGAAGACAATAGGTATTAACAAGGCACAACCCTATACTTTCATTTTCCTTGTAGCACAAATAAAAGCTATAAAGAAAAATACATTCTTTTTCAGATATGGTAATTTCAGCTGAATTTTATAAGATACCCAGAGAAAAAAACTTTGAACATTAACAACTGTTTTATTTTAAAATTAATTCAGAATTGTTGTCTTTCACCATTTCTACCTTTCTAGAACCTTAAGAGAAGTGTAACAGGGCCACGATATGTAGTATCTGTTTTGGCTGTCTCCTTATGGAAAGCTCCTTAACTCATTTAAAAGAACCTCTGTATATACTGTAGATATGTTGATGCATGAGAACACTGAACATTTACATGTTACCGTTCATCTCAAAGCTGTTTAGAACTTGAATTTTTTAGTCCAGCCTATTTTTACTTGCATATGCAGTAACAATCAAATGTGTGAATAGCATGAATTTATTTCATGAGAATACTCTTCATTGTTTAATACCATGACACAGCACATGACACTTGTTTTCTGTACGTTGTTAAATAAAAATCTGAGTGCATTCTGTAATACATTCCTTTATTTGTACCTTTGTTTTGCTTTAGAAAATAATTTTTGGTAGGGTATGAGCTTCAGCTGTGTAGCATTAAGTTCAAATACTACTAAAAGCAATAATATTAAATAGTGTTAAATGCAAGGACTATTTTTTAAAACTTTCATTAATCTTTACAACAGAATTTTAATAAGGCAGACCTTGAGTTCTGAAGTAAGATCAAAACTAGTTTTGCTGTTTTGCCATTGTTCATGAATCTGGGGTAAATCCACTAATATCTTTGTAATGGTATTAGTTCAAAGTATCACAGAAGTATGATTCCCTTAAATATACCATTTTTAGCATGTATAATCCTGGATATTAAAATTTGTCTTGAGGAAAAGGAATTGAGAAAAATAGACTTTTTTTTTTTTTTATCATGGAATTGTCAAGTTACCTTAATAGTTGTCAGCACATTTACGTGTAAAATCAATGAAGTTTAGAAACCATAAGTCTGTTTCTTGTAATAGGCTTTGGTAAATATGTCTTGTTACTACTGGGTCATTTATTAATGACCAGAAAGTTTCTGGAATGAGTAAACCATGAGCTTAACAAAGATTGAAGATTTCACAACCAGTTTCCCACCTCATTTTGACACTTGAGCAAGGAAGTCTAGAACAAAAGTGATTTTCAAATCTTGACTGCAGAATCTCTACTGGAGAACCCAAATTATAAATAATAAGCCAGTTGCTACAAAGAAAAACACTCCCCTCCTCTTCTCTGCAAGTGTTTAGTACCTATTAGAAGTTTCTGGATTTTTTGTGTTTAAGAGAAATCTTCCAACTTTAACTCATTTAAAAGTAAGGAAAGAAAAAGAAGTTCAAAACTGATAACATTCTTCTTTAGAAATAATAAAAAATATAGCTTAACACAAAAAGAGCAAAATTTTAAGACAAAAAATGATGAGTGAGATTTAACAAAAAAAGGGTTCTTTTTCTGAGCATTAAGTGATGCAAAATCATAAGAATAAATAAACTAGTATCACGTACAGAAAATCTTTTAGAATCAGAGCAGCTTAAAGATGGTTAGTTATGTGGTTTTGTTGGGGTTTTTTAAAGATAATTTTAAATATAAGTTTTCTGTGTTCCTTGATAATGATTTTCATTGAAACCAACGTGACTGCAAAAGTCATTGTTGCTTAAAAAGCTTTCTAATTCTGAGAAAGTTCTTCTGCCTATCTCTGGAAGTCTCATGGGGAATCAAAGATTCTGCAGCATCTTCATGGGGAAGATGAGAAAGTATGGACACTTAGAAAAAATTTCCATTTTGCAAAGGATATTGCAATGTCCAGGATTGTGTTTGCCTTTGAAGAATGGATTGAGAGCATAAGGCCTCCAGTGTTTGCTGGCCTGTTAGTGTATGTACTAACATTTCACCTAATCCTGTTGAATGAAAAGTAGTATGGTTTAAAAGACATGAATATGACTGTCATTGTTTATAAATTCTGCTTTAAAAATTACCGAAGAAAGTCTGTGTAGCACATACAGCTCAGTATTTGGATTTGCAGGGAAGGCAGAAAGATTGCAGTGTTGTATGTTAGGTTACAAGGCTATAGGCCTAATGAAAACCTTTCACAAGAAGTTCAGTGCCAAAGAAAATTAATAATGAGGCTATGAACAGACCTAAGTGCTGCAGATAATTTCATTAAAGCCTCCTGAGGCTTCTTTTTTTGACACAGAGATCCTTTATGAGCAAAGAATAACATTATCCTTTTAAAGCCTTCATCTGAGGCTGGGGAAAGACTAAGAAAGTAATGGGAGACATGAGGATGCTACTGTGGCTCACCCGAATTTCATACGGGTAGCTATTTTAGACTCGTGTGAAAGCTGCAGTTCTGAAGTCTTCATTAATCAGTAATAGCAGTGTAAAATAGAAAGCTAGAAAATCATGTAGTTGGAAAGTTCAAAAATGTAATCATGAACCTTACGGTCACCTTTTCTAGTAGGTATTTTCCATTGATCTCCTTCTCTCATGTTCCTTGCAAATTCTTGTGAATGGTTATGTGCTCATCCACAAGACTGTTACCATCTCCTCTTTCCAATTTTTCTGGAAGTCACTCTTTACTCCCAGTGTGCACAGAATTTGCCCAAAAAGCAAGAAGAGTAATTTAAAGCCATGATGTAGAAGGGATGTGTGCCTAAGACCAGAAAGAATTCAGATTTTTCTGAATGTCCCTCTGCTTACTGAGAATATTTGTATTGTATTGAGGCAGGAGTATTCATTTCAGATTAAGTATATTATTTAAGGTTTGTTGTACTTTTCTTTATGACCATGCACATATGACTCATCATGAGGGCATTATGGAGATATGTATTTATTGCAACAATGACATGTAAGTGAGCAAAGATTATAACAAACAATACAGTATCAGTGATACCTAACATGTCCCTGATATTAGAGATAAATGAAGAGATATAAGGCATAAACATGTATAGCTACAGGTATGTACAGAGATCTTTTAGTATAAAACTGTTACAAAACTGAAGTCTAAAACCACAGTGTTTTCACTTCTTTTTCCTTTTTTTTTTTTTAAATAGAAATAAGGAATGGAAATTTGAAAGCCATTTTAGGGCTGTTTTTCAGTTTGTCTCGGTACAAACAGCAGCAACATCATCAGCAACAGTACTACCAGTCTTTGGTGGAGCTACAACAGCAAGTCCCTTCACCTCCAGCTGAAATCAGCCAGTCCAAAACACACCAAGATATGCAGTCGAGGTAGGTTAAAAAGTTAATTTTCTCAGGTGTAAAAGCTTTTTATTTGTCTGTTCAAAAAAGACAAAATTTTGTGAAAAAAAAATAGGCCACTTTAAGACTTAAAAGACTGGCTTTTTCTTTTTTTTTAGCTATTTTTGCAATGGATGTAGGAAAACAATATCTTAAGCGCGTGTTTGCTATTAAGCTTGCATTTCTTGGGAGTAAAGCTAGAGTGAGAACAGAGAACATTCCAAATTAAATTTCGTTCAAATTTTGATTAATTTTAAAGCATTCTTTCGCTTTATTATTGATTCTACTGTCCTTTGCACATTAAGAGACTGTTAGCACACCCTGAGGTTAGTATACTGGCTATTTTCATGTTTTCCTCACATACTCAGTTCCACATCTAAATGAACGATTTCAAATGATTGGCAAAATACATGGGGAAAAGACACAATTAATACTTTCATTTGTTATAAACTCTTTTCATCCCCACGCATTCTGGTTTTGAGTGCCTAATTCTATTTGAATGTTTTTTGAAAGGGAGAAGAAATGGCCTTAATCTAGTTTCTTTTAAGTGGTCAGTTTATGATTTAGTTTTAGGAAAGCAAAGCACTCAGCAGAATCCTTTATTGCTGAATTACATTGCTTTCAGACTGAAGCTGAAAACGTATTTTGAGAAGGTAGTTTCTTATTGGCCATGACAAAAGGATCAGGTTTAAACAGAAATATCTATTTAAATGGAAAGAGTATTAGCAATGTATACTTTATTGAGGAAGTTAAAAAAAAGCCATTCACATGTAGGACTATGTAAAGTGTAGTTTAACGAGCAGCTTTATATATTGCTGTCTTGGGTTTAATATTTGTTTGGTTTATTATTTGCTTGTTTAAAATGTTTTGCATACTTACCAAACAATTGTGTGTCTAGAATGTGATAAGTCAATGATCTAGGATGGATTAAAAGTATCGGACTACGATAGTGAAATTTTGGTTCTTGAGTCCATTCATATCTAAATTACACTTTCATGTTTATAATAAATCTATTTCTTCTTCAGCTGAGAAAACTTTTCACACTTCAGCCTAATAGAAATCTTTGTCTTGAAACTTAGGAATGTGGTAAAAATATGTTTATAGGAAAATGCTTCTGATGGCATTTTAGTGACCTCATTTGATACAAAAATTAAGATACACTTGCGTTTGCCTTGGGTATTACAATATGAAATGCATTTTTTTTTCTCTGCTACTGAAAATTAATGTCTTTGAATGCTTTCTCTGTGAAGTTTACTATTAACATGTAATCTAGGGAACCATGGTGTGATCCTAGAAGAATCTGACTACTCTCAACATTTTCTGAAGTTGAATTTCTGCTTTCTGAAGAATATTTAATACTGCATAAGAGGCAATAACATTGTTATTCAGAAATTAATTCTTTTTCCTATCATAAAGAAGACATTTTGAATGTAGGTCTACAAGCGTTCACTGCTTTAATCAGTGGAATTAAGGGCTTAGCCAGCTTCGTGTAAATACCTTTGGTTATTGGGTTTTGTTTATAATTTAGTAAAAGAACTGAAATATTTCCTGCTTTTCTAGTTTACCTATGGTGAATTTTTAATAAAAAAATTGTTACCGTGTTCCTTCATACATCACTACTGTCGCAAGGAATTCTGTTTGTCCAAAAAAGCTTGGAGCAGAGCACTTGTTTACTATTTGGAAGACAGCTGTTGCACACTAGCCCTTTGTCTGCTCAGGAATGGTAGGCAAAGAGGGGATGAAGTTTTCATAAAGCTTTCTTTTCATTATAATTCTCCAAGATCTCACAGTCCTTCACCGCCTTTTTCTCCTCTTCTACTTTGCTGTGTTTAAATACACTTCATTAGGAGGAAAGGCAATTATTCCATGTCCAGAACCCCGGCATTCATGCCTTCATAAAGTGACATCTAAGGCTGGTTTAACAAAATTCCTACTTCCATCGGTATGCTTTAGACCTTCTACTTTAATGCCAGGAGTTTAAAATCATTTCATTCTTTGATTGAATTTCTATTCATAGCTATGTTTCAGCTGCAAAATGTTTCTATGTAAAAAATTATTACACTGAGATTGATACCATCTTTCTTATTTCCCATCTGTAAACTGAAAGCAAGAATTTTTCTGTTAGCTTTCACATATACAGAAGTTCAATGTTTGTCACCATAAACTTGTGTACTGCCTGAGAGAATATGTTTTTCTCTCTCCATATATTTTCCAGTAAAGCCTTTAAGGGTAAAGAAAGGTCCCTACTTCTAAAAGCTTTCTTCTGTATGAAAGATTTCTATCATCTGCTACAAATACATCTAGTATTCTGAGCTGCTAGCAAAACAAGGAGCTCCAGGACTTAGAAACAAACAGAAGTATAGATTTTTATTTTTTTTTAATACTAACTGGCTTTTCATTCATCACCATTTTGAAGTAATATTGGGACATTTACATAAAATAATATGTCCCTTTCTAAGAAAAATGACTGCATTTGAAAAACAGGTTTTCCACAAATAGATGGGCATGTTCAAGTATACATTGATATGAACTCTCTGTGGTGGACTCAGCAACACTTCTTTTCATAGCAGTCATTTAATTTAACTTAATTTAATTTAATTTAATTTAATTCATTCTTTTTTTTCCCGTCAAAACAAATATTTTGGAAAATAATTCAAAATTATTTCCAAACAGCTTTTTAGTTTTAAGCTGTTAATGAGTAAATAAAAGCTTCTGTTTAGAAAGAAGCCAAAATATGAAATTAAAAAAGAAAAGATGCCTTTGATGGGATTCATCTTGCCTCTTGCCTACCTTTTGCTATCTGAAGTGTGGATAGGTAGCTTACATGACTCCCAAGACTGATTTCTATGATATGATTTCTTTCATGGCAGCTGTGTCTCAGCATTAATTACAGAAGGAACCAACACGACTGACTGATTTACAGGGCAGGGGTTCATGATTTAGACGGTCCTAAGGAACTCATACGGATGCCCCATGGGACACTTGAGACCTTTAGGTATTTTTGACAAAAAGTAGTTTCATGCAGGTACTTAAACCTTCCTCTTTCATTGAATGAACAGTATTGAAAAATGATAAAATCTAAGGTGTGTAATAATGTCACATTCTTCACCTTTCCCATGTGAAATTATTAACTCAACAGATAATCTAACTACTATCAATAATAGAGTAATTTTACTTTTTTTCTAAAGAGGTGGTGATAAGACAAGCTATTTTATCCTTTCATAGTGGATGTTAATCTTTAAGGCAATTTATTATTACACATTTATTGTGTAGCTATGCCTCACTTTCTTTATTAGCCTGTTGCAGTTCTGAATATGCTTTTAAAAATTCTTAATAGTTTCTTCTTTCTAACATTTTATAATGTGAAAAGGGTTGGCACGTAGAAACCTCAAGGCAGCAAATTACTCATGGTGTATATGTTAGAAGAATTATTTGGCAAATGCACATAACAGATTATTTTCCATTAATTTGGTCTGTGGTCCTTTATTACCTAGAAATAGTTCTTTCAGGTTTTTGAGAGGAACAAGAAAAATTATCTTATTATTATGGCAGAAGCCAGGTAATTAATATAGTAGTGAACACCTGAATGGCACATTCATCTTTATTCAGTAATGGCAAAACTCTTCAAACCTAATTTGAGTAAATTTTCAAGGGTATTGTGAAAATTATCTTCTTATACTTATGAGCATTTAATTTTACTTGAAGACTCATATATATCTACTGTGTTAGACACCTGAGAAATAAAGCTGTCTGTTTGAGGCACCGTACACATTTAAGTACATTTGATAGGTGTGTGTTTGTATGTGTGCAGACATGTAAGCAAAACCAAAACATAGACACTGAAAAAGGTGGATGTTTTTTATAGGCTTTGTACTTTTTTAGAATGTTCAGTAAGCAATCACATTTCATGTTGTAATTTAAGTCTTTGAAGCTGTGTCATAATAATTGCAGTTACTGCAGGTTAAATTAGTTCATAAGAAAAGTTATCTTCTTTGTTGCTTCCAGCTGAGGTATAGTAAGCATATTGCTTAATTTCAACTTGATTTTCTAGGAGGTAAAAAGCTGTTGTGTGTGTTTTATTAAATAAGTATGACGAGGTGATGCTCTTCACTGTTTCAGAGAGAAATACAGATTATACATGGGAGAGGGAAATACCTCTGAGAAGTCACACAGAAGATGGTCAGGATACAGAAGTGGTAGCATTCAGGCCCTGCTGAAGACCAAGGAAGTTTTGTCCTTGTATGTACAGGGATAGTGTCTCAGTCTCATAATTTAAGAGAGTGGTCCTGATGATGATGATGACAATGATGGTACTCTCATCCTGATTTCCAGGTTATGATATCCTCAGTAATGATCAATGTTCATGATCATTACTGGGTCTGAGCCTGTTCTGCATGCCACTGAAGCCAACCTACTATCAACCTATCAACCTCAATGAGAGAGTGTTTGGGCTTTTTATCAACAAAAGCCGAAACAGGCACAAAAAATTATATTAGGACTCTACAGCTTTCATAGCCAGGTTGTTTTGATGTGGTAAACAAACAGAAGCCCCAGGGGAAGGTTATAATCAGAATACCATGAGGCTGACAGGATTAGGTTTGTGCAGAAATGGGGAATTCATGAAACTAATTCAGGAGGCTAGTTGTCCTTGGATGACTAGGTAATTTGTGTCTCCTAGAGGAGACAACACAGATCAGGAATGTAATTAAACTTTCTGGACGTCTCTCTCTCTCCTTAGTGCAAAGTTTGCATAGCAGGATAATGAATTTTCTATGGCAGGCTCCTAACAAAGTTATCTAAAATTAGTCAGTGTGGCAATACTTTAACATTCCTAATCACATGTAATCTGTCCATAACCAACTTAGAATTGTGAAAATTGTGTACACAGAAGGGGAGCAAGATTCTGGATGTGAAAGAGTATCATTGGCCTACCTAATCCTAGGGCCAACAGCAACATTTCAAATTAAATGTAAAAAGAATGAAGGAGGTTG